AGTGTAACCGGTCGCCTTTGGGTCTCTAATCTGTCCTCTTAATCCTCGCCTGTCCCTCTGGTGACTGGCCGTGCTGCGTTGTGTTTTGTTATGGGACACATGGACCGACACACTTGCTGTTCACGGGCCCTTTATTGCTGGTCACTGGTCACAGAAGAACAATGCATATAGCAGTTAGCCTCCAGTGAGTGCTTAGCTCGCTCCTCTTTATACTTGACTCCGTGCGGGAAAGAGCGAGCGGGAGAGATGCGCAGGGTAATAACATACAAACTATAATACATATCTTGGACATACCTGGTCACAGAAGAACAATGCATATAGCAGTTAGCCTCCAGTGAGTGCTTAGCTCGCTCCTAAACAAAAACACACAACAAGTTTACCCATGCGACCTAGGGTGAGTGATAAAAGTAAAATAGTCGCAAATTGATGGAGCGCTCACCTCTTTATACTTGACTCCGTGCGGGAAAGAGAGCGGGAGAGGTGCGCGACCCCTATTTATACCCGACTACCAACGAAGAAAAGCATGACTCAGTTGCGAGCCCTAGTGGAGTGGAGGCTTCCCTGACCAGGCATGTCAATTAACTTACACATGAACCAAAACATTTTACACCCTGATAACATTTTACATATAACATCCCAGTTACATTTTGTGCAATTATTATACCCCGGTTACACTAGCAGGAGGGAGACTGGAGGTGAGACAGGTGTCATGACCCCGCTGCCTGTCTTCCTGTTCCCCTCTGAGCTGGTGTTTTACTCTGAGCAGAGGAGCTCCCACCGGAGAGTGTTAACGCTGTACAACCCCTACAGCTTCAGGATCAGCTTCAAGAGTCAGTACCTGTCTGCTTACCTGTTTATTGTCTGTGAGACGAGTTAGTGGCGCCCCCTGCTGGGTGTACAGGCGTTAAGTCTCTCTCTCTCTCTCCCTGTCCCCAGTGTTGTGTACTGCTCCCTCGCTCTACAGAGTGGTGGAGGCTGAGGGGAGTGTCCGACCCAAGTCCTGCGTTGACCTGTAGGTACACCGATAAGTACTTCATTAGTATTACTACTTTTATTTCTCTGTGGACCAGGAGCTTGATGGAAATGTCCTCTGGAGACAACAGTCAGCCAGTTTGTTGTTTGCTAGTCCATGGCTCCCAACAACTGGAGTTCACTGGATTCTTCTTAACACTCTCCTCTTCCTGTCAGGGTGGTGCGTCACCTGGATGTGTCCCCTCGAAACTGGGGCCGGAGAGACAGGTTCCGCATGGAGATCAGAGGAGGAGGCCAGGTGGGAGGACGGGAGATCTGGGCCGAGCTGAGAGGAGGAGGGGAGGATGAAGAAGAAGAAGAGGAGAGGAGGAGGAAGAAACAAGAAGGGGTTGGGGAGGAGAAGAGGACAAGGAGACAGCAGAGGGTGCTGTCTCCTCTGCTGGTGCCCACATATGCTCGCCTGCAACTGCCTACCTGTACAGGTGAGACTGGTCACTGGTCCACAGCTGTTAGGACAGATTGTGCTTCATTCAGACACAAGGTGAGGAGTCAAGGTGGGAAAGCGGGAGAGCAGGACACAAGGAGAGGAGTCAAGGAGGGAGAGAGAGAGAGAGAGAGAGAGAGCAGGACACATGGAGGGAGGTCTAGAACCAATGGAGGAAGTAGGGAAGGAGTATAATACTACATTACCCATAAGCCACAGTGGCTGTCACTATGGTGATGATGCCATCTTGACTGAAGCTCTGTGATTGGATGTTCTTACAGCAGTGCACTCTGGGATTTGTAGTTCACCTTTTCCTTTTATCCATGAAACAGATTTATTTCAACTCAGTGTTTTCATTGTTTGTGTTGGTGTGTGTGCATGTGCGCACAGCTGTGCGCAGTGTGTCTCAGTGGGTGGTGTGTGTGTTTATGGCGATGCTGTGTGTCGCAGTGTTAATGCTCCCCCACCACAATGACAGCAGCTCGGTGGTTCCACATTGCCTGCACGTCTCCACCAATCAGAAGCTGGCCTGTGCCTACACACTGGGTAACACACACACACACACACACACACACACACACACACACACACACACACACCTGTAAAACACACACACCTTTAGTTTAAAAATGTGGACACAGTCTTATTTGTCTGTCTCTCCTCAGGTCTTCTCACCATGATGTTTCTACGGTAACCAGTGACATCATGCCACCATCCCCGCCTCCTCTGTTTGACAGCAGCCTTTTGTTGCCATGGCAGCCATGGACACCACCCCCTGACCTCTGACCTCCATCAGAGGGACCACACAGACACAGACTGTGTTCATTAACTCAACACACACACACATGAATGTAGTCGAGGTCTTAATTAGTAGGGATTGACTTAATTAACCATCTTAATTAGTCTTCAACCTGGAAAGAGACTGATGAACACAATCAGCCTGACATAGTTCATCCTGGGACTTCCTGTTCATCGTTCATGTTTAGGGTCTAGGGAACAATCTAAAAGGTCACAAGGTGATTAAAGTGATGTGAATTAAAAACATGTTCCTCTTTATTTGTTTTGTGTGTCTGTCATGTCAGAACAGGACACCTTGAGCTTTTCAGAGTTCAGTTTGTCCTGCAAACCAGAGTATGACAAGGAAAATCTGTCTCATGTCTGAGAACCTGCCTCAGATGGGTTCACTACAGTGATCTGGTCCTTTAAAGACTTGGGCTCTGAGGAGTCTGCAGGGGGTTCATGGTGCAGAGCAAATAAATTACTGATGCCTTGTGCTGATGAGCTCTTCCCTCAGTGTGGTACCTTTTCATTCTCATCTCTACATTATGCAAAATGACAGAACATGACAGCAGAGACATGAAACAACCACAGAGAGATGAAACACGGAGACACAAGACAACTACAAAGAGACAACAACTGGCTGCAGACAGATGTGAAATGTACATAAAGATGTGGCAAGTACAAAGAGATGTAGAAGACTACGAATGTCCAAAATAATGTTATAAAGTTCCCGAAAGCTGATCTGGATTCGCATTCAGGCGCCGACCCAAGTGACGCTAACTGGTTTGATCCCATTACATTTGTATTACAGCAGTTACTCCATTTATATGTCGTCCTGTTTAGAAGCGATGTTCTGTGGTGACTTCAGTGATGTCATTGTACTCGTCAGCCAGTCCCTTCCCGTCTCGGTTAGCTGTGGGTGTTGCCATGGATACAGTCAGGTCACCTCCTACGATTAAAGCAGGTCGTGGTTTAGAAGTATTTAATATGTTGTAAATAACAAATCAGCAGTAAATCGTTGGTATTGTTAGCTGATATTGTGCAGGTGATTGATGGATTGACTGGTACGGCGTCTATAAGAGTGATTGGTCGACAGCTCTGTGACTAGTCTATAAAGGAGGCTACATAAATAATATCTAGATGCAGTGATGTGTGATTAGAACAGAGTTTACATTCTCAGAGCTGTTAATTACTCTGTGTTAATTGTTTCATGATAAAAGCCAGAAGTGTCAAATATTCTTTAAAGTACGTCAAAGTCACTTCTAAACGATTTCATCTGCTAAAGGTCTGTGTTTCATTGTGTAGCTCTGCTTCACTTGGCTTCAGGTTGAATATGCACCTGTGAGTCTCACCTGTGGCTCTGTGTCTATATAGAGACACCATGAGGAGAGTGGAGATGAAGTATGGACAGAACACCACCAGGTGGAGGACCAGTCTGGGTACAAGCTGGAGGGGGGTGGAGTCAGAGGGCGGGGCTGTAGCTGGAGGTCTCTCTGCAGAGAGAATCCACCTGGTCAGGTGAACATGTGGATGAACTAAGAGCTGAAACCAGAGTGACCTCCTGACCTGTGACAGAGAGCCAGCTGGGTGGAGACGCTCCATGACCACTGATGTTACAGGTGTAGAGGCCTTCATCAGCCTTGGAAACACGGCGGATGGTCATGTGACCTGTAGGCTCCGCCCCGATCAGGGAGCCATCTTTATAGAAAGCAGCTGGGAGGCTGGAGGGAGGGCTCCGTGCTTCACAGCGCACAGTGACATCATGTCCCTCCATCACAGGGAGGACAGGACTCTGCAGGATCACTGCTCCACCTCAACACAGAGACAAACTACAGCCTTTCATCCATTTACACACAGCTTCATCAGCACTGACTCCACAGTCTGATCTTACCAGTGACAGTGATGTTGATGCTGTTACTGGTCGCTCCCTGTGTGGACTGGCACCAGTAAACACCACTATCCCAGGGGACGATGTAGCTGATGTTACAGGAGGCACCGGCTGGTCTTCCCCAGTCTTCACACTGAGTCCTGGTGTCTCTGGTCGTGTTCCTCCTCAGTGTCCATCCAGCAGAGCTGTCGTCCTCCTCACAGCTCAGAGACACGTACGTCCATCTGAAGAACTGAGAGCTGCTGGGACTCACAGTCAGACGAGCTGGAGAGAGTTCAGCATATTCTCAGTTAAATTAAATGAACTGAGGATAAAGTTTAGATTTTAAAATGGATGATTTTTATGCTGATGACACTGTTATCTATTCAGGTGGCGTCTGACAGATGGCTGAGAGTGGTGAGACCCATTTGTTTGTTGTGAGCCAACTGAATCCTTCTTAAGTGTCCACCATTAAAATGTGGTTTCACACTGATGGAATGAGGCTTATCGCCTGCAGGAGGTCTCAGCGTCTTAAGCTTGATTTATGGTTGTGCGCTAAATCTACGCCATAGGTACAGTGTAGGTAACATGTAGCCTCGTCCCCTACATCGTAGCCTGACGTGCATCTCTCCAGAAATGTAACATCGTGGCAATGCAGACAACAACAGCTGTGATTGGTTGCATCCCATTTCCTCGTTTATGTCTTTCAGCGGCTGGACAACCATGAAAATACCCCTGATTCTGCCTCAGTCAGTCCAGAGGTTGTACAGACCATCTCCTCCGACATCTTCTCTCTTTTCTGTGTTGCAGTAATGTCAGTAAAAGTAACTGCTGTTCAACATCTGTTAGTTTTAACTCCAACATGAGCCACTCAGGTTCAGTCACCATTGCTAATAAGTGGTGAAGAAACGCAGCACAGTGGCACAGACACACCACCACCAGCGTTTTGGCGGTGTAACTGCAGGGTGACACAGACACAACCAGCGTTTTGGTGGTGTAACTGCAGGGTGACACAGACACACCATGCACAAGTATAAATGCTCACAACTTGCACAACACCCACTTGCAGAGCCTACAGCGTGGGCTGTGTGTAGACTCAACGCAGAACCACAGATCAAGCTTTAGGCTCCTCCTGCCCTCTGACCTGTCTCAGACCGAGGAGCTGCTTTTAGCACTGAAAGGCTTTGGAGCCGCTCTTAGACCACAAACGTAGGAGTCCAAAAGCCAGGACTGACGCCCCCGATCCCCAGGAGCTTAGCAGTGTCAGGATGTTTTGTGAACATGGCCCCACATCTTCTTTGGAGTCTGACCTGTTTCACTTCCGTTGCCATCAGTCTCATTTATGCTGACAAGTGGGGACTGTCTGATGTGCGGAATACAAACCTTGGGTGGCTCTGCAGCAGAGCGTTGCAGTCAGACCTGAGGGGAAATGACACCCAGGTTTGAGGTTTCACATGCAGACAGAAAACAGCTTCACTTCTCTGGCTGTGCTGACGATAGGTTTCAGAGCCCGCATGGACGGAGGGAGCGACACTTAAAACAAGATGCATCCAATACCACCAGTTTCTCTTTAGACTTAAAACACAATGCTAGTTATCTCAGAGGTCAAATGCACAGGCTGAGGTTTATACCAGTGGTGGGCAAACAGCGGCCTGTGGGCCAAATCTGGCCCTGCAACATGTGAAACGCAGACGTTTCCCTTTTACACTTTACAGAACAATGTGAAATAAAGGCTGGTGTAAATTCCTGTAAATTAAATGTGTAATATCTAATAAAAACCGGTGATTTGCTCTGAAACACAAAGAGGAGGCAGTGCAGCAGAAAGATGCTGCTGACGAAGCAGCAGCTCTTGAACAAAGCAGGAGTCGTTTCTCCTGTTGATGTTGTTGGACAAGGACAGTGACATCCTGTGTCCTCACAAACACTGACTGTTAAATAGGATGTAAACATGAAATACTCTAGCAAAGAAAACACTGAAGCCCTGAATCTTACACTCAGTGAAGCGATAACGTTTAACAGACGTCACTAACAGCAAAGTCCAGGTTTAATAATGATTTCCTCAAAATGTTCCTTATGTGAAGCTAAGACCTGCTAATAACTGACACCTAGAGCTCATTAACTGGGTGGTGAAGGCTTTACTTACAGAGCAGCCACTGAAGAGATGTGTCCTCCATTGCTTCCTTTACTGATATGCGACCAGGCGACCTCCCCCTCCTCCCCCTCCCCAATGAAGGTGTGAGCCTTCCTCTCCAGCTGCAGGACGTGATGAACCAGGCTGATCACACAGTCACTGATGCAGGTAGGAAGAATGGAAATCAGCCTGTCTGAGTGGAGCAGCTCCTCACATGGAACAGAGACGAGCAGCTGGTGCAGACTGACGGTTTCCAGCAGGAGGTGACAGCGATGCCCTGATCCCACTGGACAGAGTCTCGTTAAAGTAACAGATCAGCCTCCTCTGGTCCTCAGTCTCTGCAGTGGGTGTTTTAATAACTTTCTTCTGGATGACAGGAGACGCTGTCTCAGCACCAGCCGTTTATGTCGAACATGTTTGTTATTGTGCAAAATGTTGTGTAATAACTAAAACCCACAGGACAGGGTGGACGGGTAAGGTGACAGACACAGGACTGGTCAGCCTCAGGTCCACCAGCTGGACAGACTCCACGTCTGAGGAAAGAAATACAGGACAATAGTTTCACTGCGGATCTTCACATGGTCAGAAATCACTCTGACAATCTTCAAGTCGCTGGTTAGAAAGATGTTGTGTTGCTTTTCAGCTCAAACGAGACAGAGTGTGTTAACGTGTTGTGTTCCACAGTTTCCTGACATTCCCTGAACAACCAGTCGATGATTAAAGAGTGTAACTCTCAGCTGCTCCCAGCCAGGTGCTCCCCATGAGGCCTGGCTCCAAAACCTGTAGCCACACCGATGCAGTGAGGTTAGTGTTGTTGGGATCAGTGCATTGTGCAGCGGTGACGTGGTGGATCCTGCCTGATAGGCCGGGATCATCCCCAGCCTGCAGAGGCTGATGCAGCAGCTGTTACAGATCTCAGGGAGAATAAAGATGGTTTCCAGAAAGCACACACTAACAGTAAGAAGAGGTGAGGTGTCACAGAGGAAGAAGAGCACACACTCGCAGTAAGAAGAGGTGAGGTGTCACAGAGGAAGAAGAGCACACACTCACAGTAAGAAGAGGTGAGGTGTCACAGAGGAAGAAGAGCACACACTCACAGTAAGAAGAGGTGAGGTGTCACAGAGGAAGAAGAGCACACACTCGCAGTAAGAAGAGGTGAGGTGTCACAGAGGAAGAAGAGCACACACTCGCAGTAAGAAGAGGTGAGGTGTCACAGAGGAAGAAGAGCACACACTCACAGTAAGATGAGGTGAGGTGTCACAGAGGAAGAAGAGCACACACTCACAGTAAGAAGAGGTGAGGTGTCACAGAGGAAGAAGAGCACACACTCGCAGTAAGAAGAGGTGAGGTGTCACAGAGGAAGAAGAGCACACACTCGCAGTAAGAAGAGGTGAGGTGTCACAGAGGAAGAAGAGCACACACTCACAGTAAGATGAGGTGAGGTGTCACAGAGGAAGAAGAGCACACACTCACAGTAAGAAGAGGTGAGGTGTCACAGAGGAAGAAGAGCACACACTCGCAGTAAGAAGAGGTGAGGTGTCACAGAGGAAGAAGAGCACACACTCGCAGTAAGAAGAGGTGAGGTGTCACAGAGGAAGCAACTGTTGGAGGCAATATGATGAAAATCCATCCATATCTCAGTGAGTCTGTGCCTCGTCTGTTCATTCAGTTACTTTATTTAATCTGGAAAACAAGAAAATGGACAGACATAAACCTTCAGGTTTAGAGCAACTGTTGGAGGCAATAGGATGAAAATCCATCCATATCTCAGTGAGTCTGTGCCTCGTCTGTTCATTCAGTTACTTTATTTAATCTGGAAAACAAGAAAATGGACAGACATGAGTTTCCTTTTCTCATCTTTGGTGGCCATTAAAAAATAAATCCACCGTGTTTGTCTTCCTGTAAAAGTAGAAAATCTAATAAACAGAAACCAAACCTTTATTTCAGCTGTTCAGTTGTGTGCTGCTGATCTGTGCCACGTGCAGCCTGAGCTGCTACGTGCACCTGGCACGAGGCTGCAGAGCTGGTGGAATATGTTTAAGGTGAAAAGTCCTGTTAGTCTGACAACTATCGTCACTGTCAGGGCCGTCAGCGGTGACAAACAGACTGTGACTGTGACTGTTTGTCACCTATGCACAGTCTTTCCTTATCTACACAGATGTGTTTCATCCATCAACGTTGAGACAGTCTTTAAAAAAATTGTACATTAGATCAAACGTCCTAAACTCCAACTTTAAAACAACGTGGTAATACAGATTTGAACAGTGGAGTCAGTGTTATGGTTTATTGGTAGGACTCAGAGTGTAGACCCAGGTGCTAGTAAAAACAATGGAGGTTTAATGGAACAAAACACAAACAAGGTAACAGAGTCACTATCTGGAGCATAATCAGGCTGGACAGGAAAAAAACAGAGATGGCTGAGGAGACCAGGACGAACAGGTGAGTAGACAGGCTAACGGAAGGAACCCGGAGAGTAGGAGGATCAGGACGAACAGGTGAGTAGACAGGCTAACGGAAGGAACCCGGAGAGTAGGAGGATCAGGACGAACAGGTGAGTAGACAGGCTAACGGAAGGAACCCGGAGAGTAGGAGGATCAGGACGAACAGGTGAGTAGACAGGCTAACGGAAGGAACCCGGAGAGTAGGAGGATCAGGACGAACAGGTGAGTAGACAGGCTAACGGAAGGAACCCGGAGAGTAGGAGGATCAGGACGAACAGGTGAGTAGACAGGCTAACGGAAGGAACCCGGAGAGTAGGAGGATCAGGACGAACAGGTGAGTAGACAGGCTAACGGAAGGAACCCGGAGAGTAGGAGGATCAGGACGAACAGGTGAGTAGACAGGCTAACGGAAGGAACCCGGAGAGTAGGAGGATCAGGACGAACAGGTGAGTAGACAGGCTAACGGAAGGAACCCGGAGAGTAGGAGGATCAGGACGAACAGGTGAGTAGACAGGCTAACGGAAGGAACCCGGAGAGTAGGAGGATCAGGACGAACAGGTGAGTAGACAGGCTAACGGAAGGAACCCGGAGAGTAGGAGGATCAGGACGAACAGGTGAGTAGACAGGCTAACGGAAGGAACCCGGAGAGTAGGAGGATCAGGACGAACAGGTGAGTAGACAGGCTAACGGAAGGAACCCGGAGAGTAGGAGGATCAGGACGAACAGGTGAGTAGACAGGCTAACGGAAGGAACCCGGAGAGTAGGAGGATCAGGACGAACAGGTGAGTAGACAGGCTAACGGAAGGAACCCGGAGAGTAGGAGGATCAGGACGAACAGGTGAGTAGACAGGCTAACGGAAGGAACCCGGAGAGTAGGAGGATCAGGACGAACAGGTGAGTAGACAGGCTAACGGAAGGAACCCGGAGAGTAGGAGGATCAGGACGAACAGGTGAGTAGACAGGCTAACGGAAGGAACCCGGAGAGTAGGAGGATCAGGACGAACAGGTGAGTAGACAGGCTAACGGAAGGAACCCGGAGAGTAGGAGGATCAGGACGAACAGGTGAGTAGACAGGCTAACGGAAGGAACCAGGAGAGTAGGAGGATCAGGACGGACAGGTGAGTAGACAGGCTAACCAGGAAGACTGGCGAACAAAAAGGTAATCCACAGCACCGTCAGCGTGGACGTCTAGAGACGCATAACACAAAACATATAACCAACGTACAAAATGAGTTCTACAGCACAGGAACTGTCAGCGTGAGACTCAGATGACATGCGACACATACCATGACTATAGGTATAGGTAAGTTATGTTACGTGAGCTAATGCTGTTTTGCTGTCTTCTGTGTATGAGGTCACTTTTAATGTAGAGATGCACATTTCAAATTTCAAAATAAAATTTACACCCTGTCTACATGATAGTATTCACCTCATGTCACCATTAGATACATCTCTCTCTCTCTGTCTTATTGTAGAAAAAGACGCCCAGGCGTTGCTGCTGTCAGCCATGTGACCAAGCCTTCCCAACGCCATCACAGAGTCCATGCTGGGCCATACGGCTGTGACCAGTGTGGGAGAAGTTTCATCAGGTCGGGTTCTATAAGAAAACACAGATGTGTGCACGCTGGAGAGAAGCCTTTCAGCTGCGACCAGTGTGGGGGAACGTCTGCTTGGAGATGTAACTTAACAGAACACGAACGACTTCACACCGGAGAAAAGCTGTACATCTGTGAACAGTGTGGAAAAGGTTTTAGTCAAATGTGGCCTCAGAAGACATGGGCAGAATCACACCGGAGGAAAACCATACGGCTGTGAGCAGTGTGGGAAGCATTTTGCTCTCACATATGACCTGAAATACCACCAACAGATTCCTACTGGAGAAAAACCGTATAGCTGTGAGGACTGTGAGAAAAGTTTCCTCAGACCCTACAAGCTGACAGTGCACAAACGTGTACACACTGGAGACAAACTGTACAAGTGTGACCGATGTGGCAAATCCTACACTCAGAACAGCACCTTCCATCGACATGCATATGTTTAAATGGGAGACCGAGTGTGAAGCTGTGGCCGTCCTGGTTGGGTGTTGTCTCTCCGGTGGTCTTAAAGCCCAGCAACACGTTAGAGCTGTGGAGCAGGCCAGCTGGTTTCTCCTGCCTTCAGTCTTTACAAGGACACACACTAACATGGCATTGTGTTTGTGTAAGCAGCAATAAAAAAAGAACTTGAATAAAACTAGTTTAAAACCAAAAAGTGAGGAAACAAAGCTGATGGATTTGTTGTTGGTTGACATGTTAGACATGTTAGACTGTGATAAATATGGAGCTTAAAGGACCAGTGGCTTTGTGGTGAACACAGATAAACCAACTATGTGCAAACTACTGATGACTGACGGTCCAATATGAAGCTTCCTCACATTAAAACATTAATATCACTTGTCTGTTGCCTCTCGGCTGATGTTTTAGTCGCAGTGCTCTGTGGTGGACAAACACCGCAGTAGCAACACTGTTAATAATGGCTCAAGCACCTGTCTTTGGCTTCCTGGTACCTGTTGTAAAACCGAAGGAAGACGTGCGCCCCCACTCCAAGCTGAGTGTGCACTGTAACCGGTTTGAGTTGTCTCTCTCTGTGGCTACACCCTCAGCTTCTTCCTGTGCACAGGAGCAGGAGGTGAAACCACAGGGGATGGTTGAAAGCTGGTGAATCCCCGTTGTCAGACAGGGCTATGAGTCTATGTAGATCATTTCTACACCAGTCCAGCTCCGATCCTGAACCTGCTCCACAGAAAGACTTAGCATTGGACTACCAACGGGCCACCAGCTGAAAGGGGCACAGCCTGGTGGATCAGAAAGGGAGAGCCGCTCTTCACAAACTGGTTCAGTACATGTGAGCCCACCATTTATCCCCAGTATGTTGGTACCACAGTCGCTGTGCTGTGTGTTTGGTTTCTCGCTGCCTTTACTGTGAGACAGTTGTTATTCAGTGTGAGTCTCCCTCTGATTCCTGCCTCTGTCTAAGCAGCTGGACTCGGCTGTATGTGCTTTATTTTTGAGGCCATGGGCTTTTGTGACTTATTGTGCTTCTCGTGGTGTTTGTGTGTGGTGTATTCAATAAATCTGTACAAATGACCATTTTTTGACTAGTGACACGTTGATGCTGCTGATCCATCGTGTTTCTGAACACGTTTACAGACACAACACTGGTCAACGTTCATGTCCACAGGTCGAGTCCCATCTCTTTCCACAGGGACGTGTCGGCACCAGTGGCGGTGCAGAGCTCTGCTTCCACCTGCTGGCGGCTGGTTGCTGCTGCGCTCACTGAGCTGACATCCTGGAGTCAGCTCTGTGTGTCAGACTGTGTCTCAGCCTTTTAAAGACGAGTCAACATTTACTCTGTTTAATCCTTCAGCTAATCTAAGTTCAGTCTACACAGAAGTGAGTGCAACGTGAAACTTTAGTGTGTTTGCTTTACACTGACACGTGGACATTTGTCTGTTGATTACAGTTTTAAAATCATAACCAGTTAAAGAGAAGGATGTGACAAAGTCATGATAATTCATTAGGTCAACATGTCACCAGTGCTGAGCGCCCTGAGGGTTTCAGTGATAGGCCTTCTGCAGTCTGAAAAAGCACGTGTCCACGTGATGTATGCGCTGAGTTGTTAGTTCATCTGTGTTTCATTGATCACAGTGACTGTGCTATTGGCTTCACCACAAAGTCTGCAATGTGTAATAGACCAGGCTTTATTTAGAGCTAATGTACATTTAATAATGATCTGAATGGAAGGAAAATGACTGGAGCGTGACGAGGTGCAGCAACATCTGTCCCGTGTGGGAGAAGAGTCTCTACAGCAGGAGAATTCTGAAGCAGTTACGTCTGAAAACATTTGGACCATGTTTTTCTCTACAGAAACTCCTGAGAACTCTGCTTCCCTCGTGTTCAGCCCCAGTCACAGCAGTGCTGCTCATCACACAGTCTCTGGGTTAAATTCTTACACAAATAGGAATATAAACACCTTCTTATGTGTAACATGTCTACAAATATAACAAGTTTTACTACAGTGACATCATTGGTTTTCAGTCATACTGTGAGAAGGACTCTGTTACACACCGATGACATCTGGGCCCAGTCACCCTCAGCTTTAGTGGCCAAGTTTGAACATTCAAGGAGTTTGACTCGGGTACAGAGGCTCTCAACAGGTAACAACAGGTAACACAAGGTAACACAAGGTAACAATGCACAAACACGTCACCACAGAAGTTACCACTACGGGTACACACATCACCTCTTTCACAGTATTATCAACATGTATAGAAGAAGCCTGTGTCTTCCAGAGTCGACTCACTCAGTTTTCCATTGTGTTTACAGCATGTGGCCACCGGGTGTCGCCAGTGAGGCATGATTAAGATGTTTCAAACCAGTGAACTAACTGGTTCAACTGGTTCCAGGCTTCAGAAAGCCTCACTTCGCCCGTCACTAACAACAAAGGGATTGAAAGCAGCTCACAGCGCTGAAGTCGGTGAAGAACAGCATCTTCTGAGGACATGAAGCTGCTTTTACCCTCTGGCTGACGTCAAGCAGCCCTTGTTTCTCAGCTTTGACACCTTAGCAACGGTAACTAAGGGGGCGGAGCTCAGCGAGACTCGCTTTAAGGCGTTTATGGGACCTTGTGAGTTCGCGAGACTCGGCGAGAACACGAGAGGACGAAGGTGATGTTTGTGGCACAACGTGGCGGTGACAAAGACAGAGTCAACATGGATTTCATCGACGAGGACCAGAACAACAGCGCGATAAAGGAGGAGAACCAGGAGCCAGATTTCGTCTACCAGGGTCAGGACGTGTTTGGGACGAAGGAGGAGAACGACGACCCGGATTATGTCTACGAGGAGCAGCAGCACACAAGCGGGATGAAAGAGGAGAACCAGGACCCGGAATTCGACAAACAGGACCACAACACAGACGGAATTAAGGCGGAGAAAGAGAATCCGTTCTTCTCCGAACAGGACTATCACATAGTTGGAGTGAAGGAGGAGAACCGGGACCCGGATTTCAACGACCCAGACCAGTACAAGAGCGAAATGAAGGAGGAGGACCGGGGTCGAGACGTCCGGAGCAACGAGCCCGGCCCTAGCGACCAACAGGTCAGTGGTCAGGACTCGGAGACCGGGGTCCGGGTATCATCCGTTCATTCTGGGTTTAGATGGAAAATTCAAAACCAGTCGAGACTGGTTCTTATCAGTGATACAAACTTTATCCTGGGTTTGTTGTGGTAAACAAACCGGGTGTAGCCGTCTCTCCAGAGGTTGGGGCCGCCCCCCGTGGGACTGATGGACGCTCCGGGATCCCGTAGTTTACACGATCATCTCACCAGGAGCACTGGTTGGTTTATCTGGGTCACGGAGGCAGATTGGGGCCTAAAACGTAAGTGAATGAGAAACGGGTTAAACTCCGACCTCATTTCTACGTTTTAACGAGGCTCCGTGACTTCCGGTTTGGTTTGCCCTGTTTCAGTCGGCATATTACCGAACTAATCCCAGTAGTACTGTCAGAGAGCTGGTCTCATGTCCTGTCGAGGAAACACTTTATTTCACAGTAACAGTCAGAATGTAGAGAAACACACAATGAGTCCAGATGGAGCGTTTTCACTGTACCACTATCAGACAAACCGGTTCGGTCCAAACCAGCTGGTGGTACCTCTTCTGTGTCAGTGCCACATGCTGATCATTCAGTAGAAGTACAGCTGTGGTGTTTAAACCAGGAACGTGGGTCAGTCAGCTTGTGTTTGCAAAGCCTCAGCTTTAATGTGAGGAGGCTTCAGGTACATACCAACATGTGAGAAGTGTTCTGGCGGTACCGGCCCCAGACCAGATGTCACTTTGTAAGGACCGGGAGCATTTTGAGCAGATGTGAATGGTGTTTTGGGGTTTATGGAGCAGCCTCTCATCTCTGTGTCACTGGCAGCTTTAACGGTACTTTCAGCTCCACCTGCCGTCTCCCGTCCACCTCTGGTGTTGTGTTAACCACACGGAGCTTGTTGAGCAGCCAGCTGATACGATCCTGTCTGACTGGCCACACACCTTGGCTTTATATCTGAGACGGATAAAGGGGATGGAAACGAGGAGCAGAGCTGATACAGTCCTAACCCCCCCTTCCTCTTCTTAGCTGTGGTGAGAAACCAGGCACCAGGGGAGCTCAGGCTGCAGAGTCTGCTGTGGCTTTACCCCACAGGGATTCACCCTGGAGGCTCAGATACACGCAGTACATACGTGCATCTCTTTGGTGCCATGATCAGCACTGACTAAAACCAGAAAGCCACTACCTGAGTCTTGACTGCACTGATTTATTATTTGTTATTTAAAAACCATAAACTGGTATCTATACTTTAAAAGTCCTACTCTGTTGTTTGTTTGTTTATCATTTATTTAACCAGGTTAAAGCCTCACTGATAGTGCCCTGGCCAAGAGGGCAGTGAGGGCGGTGTTACAACAGTAAACAGACAAATACAACTGTCTCACACTGAAGTGAGCACAACATCCAGGTGCTGTGTAACACAAAGTCGGGCTCTGAACAGTGAGGATGGATAAACGACTACAACCTTTAAGACAGTTTAAGTAAACAGCCTGTGAACCGGGAGTTCTGCTCAGAACAGGCCTGAACCGGCTGGAGGCCGCTCCACCCAGCCACTTTTAAACAGCTAGCTGTTAGCTATTGGCCTAGCGTAAAATTTCCCTTCAG